CTTCGAGTCCACATAGCAAAAAAGCGCTCACTTAGTTCGGGCCGAGCGTTGGCACGACAATCGCCCGACACTAACAGTTACACGTCTTGGAGGTGACAACGCCACGTAGGGTAGGGGGGGAGGGGGGGAGGGGGAGGAATGGGGGTGAGGAGTAGGGGAGGTAAGCGATTAGGGGAGGAGGGACTGGGGTTAATGTAAAGTGGGAAATGTAAAGAAGAGAGAGAAAGAGAGAGAGAGAGAATGAGAGAGAGAGAGAGAGAGAGAGAGAGAGAGAGAGAGAGAGAGAGAGAGAGAGAGAGAGAGAGAGGAAGTAACGGAAGGAAGGGAAGGGCGGAGACAGAGAGGGAGGGAGAGGGAGGGTGGGGGGGAGGGAGGGAGGGAGGAGAGGATGGGAGTGTAGACAGGTTAAGGACCGGGAGAGAGGGAGGATTAATGTAGGGGAAGATCCGGGATAGAGGGAGGGAGGGAGGGAGGGAGGGAAGGAGTGAAGGAAGGAGGGATGGAGGGAGGGGAAGGAAGGGGGAAGGAGGAAGGGATGGATGGAGGGGAAAGGAGAAGGGAGGGAAGGGGGGGAATGGAAGGAGGGGAAGGGAGGGAGGGAAGGAGGGATGGGTAAGGGCAGGAGAGAGAGGAAGGATATATATGGAGGCAAGTCTAGGAGAAAGGAAGGGAGGGAGAAGAAGAAGGAGGGAGGGAGGGAGGGAGGGGGAGATGGAGCGGTCTGTCAGATCATTTTTTAGGGGGAACTACTTTAAGGTCAGTGGTCTGGATACTGCGACCCCTGTCTCTCTGTATTGTGCGCTGTTCACCATTTCCCTTCTACATTAATCGGTCTCTTTCTATGTCTCGTTTATTAATCATTAATATTTCCCTAATATAATTAACCGACACTTGTCATCATAAAAGAATTTATGTATATGAGTCGTCAATATTTTTCTCTAACACAACCAGCTTCTAATTGGGGATCATAATGGCTTTATGTCTTCAATATCAATTAATATCAGTTTCAATTAATATTCATTAACGTCTATTATGCCACGTCATCATCTGACTTCCCTTTTCCTGTTTATTCTGTGAACTTCCTTTATCTTACTTCGTTTCGGAAAAAAATGTGTCTGTAATAAATGGTCCATTTGTTTCATTAAATTCGTAAAACATCTAATGACCGTAATTAAATTGATAGATTAATAAAGAATGCAAATGATTGAATAAACAAACAATCAGGCAAATAACGAGATAAGTAAATAACATAAATTAAATACAAACAACTAAACAGACAGACAACAACATAAAGAGATAAGTGAATAAACAAACAGACAATTAAATAGTTAAATAGATGAATGTTTAGACAATTAAATGTGTAAATATATGAATAGATAGACAATTAGATATGTAAATAGACGAATAAACAGACAAATAAACAACTAAAACGCCTAACTCAACAAACAAACAACCAAATAAACAAATAATTAAACGAATACATAAATACCTTTTGTACCATTAAAAAAAAATTAAAATGATCCTCAACATTCCATTCACACTAACGGTCACAAAGATAAAAAGCAGCACTCGTTACCGGATTAACTGTCTATCATAAAAAGAAACGCGCCTTCACTCTCTGTAGGAGTTTGTTATGTAAAAGGAAGAAAGTTTCGCAGGGTTTCATACGCGCTGCTAGGGTAGTGAGGTTTTGAGGTTAAGGGCTGTGGAATAGCCCTGGATCTGTTTCATTTGTTTGTGGGTAAGGTTGTGTAAAGCCCCCCCCCCCCCCTCTCTCTCTCTCTCTCTCTCTCTCATTCTCTCTCTCTCTCTCTCTCTGTCTCTCTCTCTGTCTCTGTTTCTGTCTCTCTCTCTCTCTCTCTCTCTCTCTGTTTCTCTCTCTCTCTCTCTCTCTCTCTCTCTCTCTCTCTCTCTCTCTCTCTCTCTTTATCTATCTATCTATCTGTCTATATATCTATCTATATATTTTTTTAAATCTCTCTCTCTCTCTCTATATATATATACGTATAGATATAGATATATATGTGTGTGTGTGTGTGTGCACATACACACACACACAAACATATATATATATGTGTATATATATATATATATATATATATATATATATATATATATATATATATATTATATATATATATATATATATATATATATATATATATGTATATATATATGCATATATGCATATCTATCTATCTATCTATCTATCTATCTATCTATCTATCTATATATATATATATATATATATATATATATATATATATATGTATATTTATGTATATACATAACTATAAATGCAAATATCTACACACACACACACACACACACACACACAACACAGAACACACATAGATGCATAGGTGCATATATATATATATATTTATATACATATATATATATATATATATATATATATATATATATATATATATATATATATATATATATATATATATGTATATATATATATATATATATATATATATATATATATATA